CTTGTAACACAGGCTGCGCCGCCGGCGTCCATGGAACAGCTGGCACTGCCGGGGGAGGCTGTGCTCGGTTTCCGTGAGTCTTTTCGGGAGGGTCTCCCAACACGTTTGCTCGTCTCGTGATGAGGGATTCGCGAGTCACCTGCCCACCCCACGCTCAGTGTCCAGTGGCTTTCTACCCACGACGGCCTGAGCCCGTGTTGCCCTCCCTGTTCGCCTGGCCTCATCCTGACCCGCTTTGGCTTTGTTTGCCCGGATGAGAGGCGCCATCAAAGAGAAACGTTGTGCTGATGTGGGGGAGGCGCAACAAAGAACGGCAGAAGCCCTGAAAGGACCAGAACCGGCGAGCTCAACAGCTGTTCTGAGCGTGGAAAAGCACCTCCATAGGTGTCTTGCATCCGACGGAGAGCACTTGGAAGGTGACTCAAGCTTAAACATGTCAGAACAAGCGCACACTTTATAGTAAACGGGGCTTTCTGGGTCCCCCCTCGTGTGCTCCAGCTCTGGCCCGGGAAGCACGTGCGGAGCATGTGGTCCGGCTAGCCAGGCCCTCTGCTTCAGCACTGCTGGCACCTGCGGCTTGGCCATTCTGCGTGCACTGTGCGGCGCTCACTGCTTCCCCGGACAGTAGCGCCCACCCGAGCTGAGACAACCAAAACCACCTCCAGGCACTGCCCTGTGTCTTCCTGGGGGCTGGGCCAGGGGGACAAAATCGTGCCTGGCAGAGAACCCCCGAGTCACAGCTTCACTCTCCCTCAATGACTCTCGCAGTCTCCACCGCCCAAGGCCCCCGGGCATGCCCCGTCCCAGATGACCTCTCACCCCTCAGAGAGCCACAGCTGGACACCGTGGGCTTTGCTGCTGTCGTTTATTGTGGGGTCAGATATTTACATTCCAGCAGACAGCCCGTCCCTGTCCTGCAAGGCGCTCAGTCTGCCCCTGGCCAGCCTGCTCCAGGCCTGCCAGGACGGGCTCCAGTCCAGTCGGGGCTCCGGGCTGTCAGACATTCAGCAGGAGTGGCCGGTGCTCCTCGTCCGTGTTGTCACTGGGAGGAAGTTCGTAAATGACAAACAGGGAGGAGTACAGGCAGCCCAGGAAGGCCACCAGGCTGGAGAAGTACATCACCCCGTTGGCGCTGCCCACGGCCGAGGTCAGGGGTCCCAGGACCAGGGAGACCAGGATCTGCGCCAAGAAGTATTGGCAGCTCAGCAGGGAGATGTCCACACCCATGCCCCGCCGGGTGCCGTCTGCGCTGGACCCTGCAAACTGACCGGGAGAAGCAGCATGTCAGCAGGACCCGCCGCGCCGGCCACCCAGGGCCCAGGCGA